GTGTTCGACTCGTTAACTTATCGAACGAAATTAACGAGTCGAAAACGAGCTTCTTAACGAGCCGAACACGAACTGTTCGCGAACAACGGGCCGTTTTGACAGCCCTAATGACTGCGTTGTTATCACAAAACAACTGTAGGAGAATCGAGACTGACATACACAGTTTTCGGAGCATGATGCTTAATCAGAGAGCCTCAAAAATTTCTAGTGACATGGATTGAAATTCTGCTTCAACACTGCTTCGGGCAACCACAAACTATTTTTTGCTTTTCTATGTGACCAGGTTTCTCCACACAAATGAGCAGTACCTCGAGATCACTGATCATAGACGGATCCGACCTAGTCAACATCTGTGAAAACAACAATATTGCGAGAGGTGTGGCGGGAAAAATACAAACCTGAGCATGATGGAACTTTCAAATAGTGGAGAATCTAGTGAACAACTTGGAGATGGTACTCATAGTGGTTATGCATGAATTACTAACTATCTCAAGCGTGTGGCATATCTCGGAGCGTGTATGGGCAATATATATGAGTTTCCCCACAAGGTGTTGGTAGTGAGTCTTGTTTATAAGAACTGCCTTGGGAACATTAAGAAGCTTTTTATTTGGATCCATCATGATAACTACTGGTTTGCACAGAAGAAGAGTCAAAAAGGTCAACAACATATTTTTGCTGAGACAAGCAAATGCCCTGAGATGACCGAACTACTTCCATGCTTAAGAAGTACCTGAGAGATCCCAAGTCCTTCATCTCAAAGGAGACAACAATGGTACCGTTCAGAGATTCCAATGCGAGTGTATCATTCCCTTTGAGAAAAGTATCATCGACATAAATGGTAAGGATAACTACCTGGTTGCTGGAGGAATGTTGGAAGAAGAGTGTGTGGTCTGATCGAGCCTAAGTGAATTCATGACCTACCACCACTTTTGTAAACTTCACGAACCATGCTTGTGGTGATTGCTTTAGTCCATAGAGAGACTTTCACAGTCTACATACTTGCCTCTGGGAGCCAGTGAAGTCAAAGTCTGGAGGAAGGGCCATGTAAATTTTTTTTGTAAGAGCACCATTTAGGAACACATTTTTGATATCAAGCTGGAATAAGGGCCAATCTAGATTCACTGTCAGGGATAAGAGAATCCGAATGGTGTTTAATTTAACTACTGGAGCAAATGTCTCCTTATAGTCAACTCCGTTGGTTTGTGAGTATCCTTTGACGACCAACCGTGCTTTATTGCGTTCAAATGATCCATCAAATTTAAACTTTATGCTAAAAATCCACCAACATCCCATTGCTTTCTTGTCCCTAGGAAGATCAACAATGTCCCAAGTATGGTTTTGCTTAATGACATTCATCTCATCCATGACAACAGCTTTTCAGGATGATTTTTCTAAAACAGCCTCAATGGTAGATGAAAGTGAATGATTTGTTAGGGCTATAGCAAATGCTCTGTAGTTTGACAATAATCTGCAAAATGAGACATTATTTACCACATTATAGAGAGAATATGTCTGTTTGCATACCTTACTAGGGGAACTGACTTCCTCATTTTGAGTCGGAACAGTGCTGGAATGTTGTTCGGAGAGGATTCATGTTCCAACAAGGTGTTAACGAGCTTCTAAGTAGGTGCATCAAAATGAGTGCATCGAGTTTAGACACAGAGAGTGAGAGGATGA